AATTTTTTCATGGACACTGCCTCAGTCATAATTTTTTCATGGACATTGCCTCAGTCATAATTTTCTTATGGACACTGCCTCAGTCAGAATTTTTTCATGAACATTGCTTCAATCATAATTTTTTCTTGAACATTGCCTCAGTCAAAATTTTTTCCCGGCTATGGCCTTAAACACGAATTTGAAAAGCCACCAAAACGCCACCTAATACAACTTGTAGTACATTTTATTGGGTACAAAGACTACATATTAATTTCTTGAATATATGTACACGAATCTCGAGAGCAAAGCAAAACAGTAGCAAACCTACAGGGAGCTACATTCTACATCTTTAATAATGTGAATAAAAAAGAACTATCAGGGTAATTCCACTATATTTCAAATACAAAATATTTATATTAAAAATTCTTCTCTGTAATAAGTGTTTTTCAAAACTAGAAAGAACTACTAATTACACATGGAACAATATGCTCCATTTGTGTTTAATAAATGCACAATAAATAAATATCATTCCAAAGATACATATTGTTTTCACTAAAAGTATATTATCTTAAGAATAATGGCACCAAACAAATCAGTCTGAGGTGGAAATTTCAATACTTGATAAGAACTAAAGTAAAGGCAGAGAAAATATCCACCACCAGACCTGCCAATCAATAGAACCTATCAGTAACACTTAAACGGGAAATATTATACATGAGCATGACGTCGAAAAGTCAAGCAAGACGACATGTTCATGGATGGAAACCTAAATGTAATGGTCAACAGTTGAACCTCCACTAACAGCCACTCTTTTGGGCCTAGCAGTCAGTCCATACATTCAATCTTATGTTAACCCCTCTACAACAGCCACCTCTCCACAACAGTAACTAAACTGTATCCAAAATGCCAAAATGCCAAAATAACCTCTGTAATGGCCAGTTAATCAACGACAGACAAACTTTGCATACAAAAACCAACTTTTTATTGTAAACGGTCACCAGATTTAATCTGCACTGCCTATCATTGGTCTCTGTTTCTTTTTGGTTTCTGTTTATTGATATATTTTGTCTGTTTACATATTTATATGCTAAATATAAGCCTTTTATTCTTGGAAAAAAATGTTGCACCACTGAAAAAACCTGGTGTCATATTACACTCCTACCTCCCTATCAGCGCCACCTCTTTCCCCATGGTGGCTGTAGTGGAGAGGTTCGACTGTTGTTTCATCAAAAGTCACTAAATAAGAGCACTATAGCCTCAAAAATGGCCTCTATAATGGTAGCACATGCACAAGGCTGTGATGTCATATTGAAAAAGTCTGGCAGACTTTATCAAATTTTGATGTCATATCTTGGAAAAATCACTGAACAAATTGCAATTTGTTCTCCTGCCAACAATTCACATAATATCTCAATCATGGGTTATTAAAAAGGAATTTTGTCCACCAGCAAAGGCACTTAAGTATAGCACTGTTTTGACCAACAAAGCAGCAAAATTGCTGGTAGTGTCCAAGCAGAATGCAAAGCCAAACATGATGTCAATAGTGGAAGTGTGAGATTAACTAAGATTAACTAAGGGTACACACTTTTTCACCAAATGTGCAAGTAGGAACGGGGTTTCTTAAAAATCTTTTAAGAAACTGGATACCCTGTCGCGAGGGGGTATTCTCAGAAATATTTAGTGGGGGTGTGCGGCCTGCTTCCCAAACCCCTTACCCTATTTAAGACCAAAATCTGTGACTTTCCCTACCCTATTTACAACCAGACCAAGAATTTGATACCCTATTTATGACCATTATGGCTGACACAGTTGCCCCAAACAATTTTTGAAGGGCTTTTGTTGATGGTCTTATCGAAAATGATGAAAAAGTAGCTTCTTCTAAACAACATACCCAATTCAAGACTAGAGTACAAAAACCATACCCTATTTACAGTGCTTTCAGTAAGATTTGAAGTGGTTGTCTCTCTTTTGTTAGAACCCGCTGGAGCTGATAAGAGGGGCCGAAGGTCCCTCGTCCTCTCGGGGGGTATGGGGGCATGACCCCCCAGAAGATGTTTGAAATCAGAAAGCTCAGAAACATGATTTCCAGTGATTTGAGGCAAAACATTAACACCCAAGCATTCATTATTTTTTATCAGAAAAAAGTGTTTTATTGCACAGTTCAAGGCAGTCTCATGTATATTATACACTATTTTCAATGGTGTATATACTACTGAGATAAAGGTATGCCTTACTAAAAGCATAGTGTTAACTATGCTAAAAGCTAATAGAATGTTACACGTCACACTGTTTGTTAGAAGATTCAAGAAATACAACATTAAAACCTTATGTGGTTGCCTTCATGTTCATGCAAAAGAACTAAGCATCTTCAGCTTTTTCAATATATACTAAGCAGACNGGCACATGAAAAGTTTGACGTCTGAATCAAAGCCGTTCCAAAGCCGAAATTCCCGGCTGAGCTAGGCGGGAAGAACGGCTGAGCCGTTCCAAATTTAAATAGCCGTTCTTAACTGATTTAGACGCCGAACTTCTCATGTACTTAATTCAACGTATTAGGTTCGGCTCACGAAAAGTTCGGCGTCTGTACTGGGCCTTATTGGCCAAGAGCCGCAGGGGTATCCTGAGGACGGAGATAGTTCAGTAGAGCACAGACAGTACTGACTGTACAGACAAGAGTGCGACAGTGAAAGGTCAATTTTAAAGTTTTCATCTTAACCGTGGAGCTCGAAATAAGCGGGGTTGATTTTAGGCCAAGAGAAACAAAACTGATTCGAAACAGTGTGCATTTTAAAAACAGCCGATAGTAAATGACTGTAGAAAGTTATATAGTTATATCCAAGGAAAATTAGTTGAGTTCGAACTGGGTACGAATCTAAGTAGTCTAAACAAATGCACACAAAGGGTAACTACAAGAACTAGATCTTAGAAGTTCGTCACCAAGCAACAGCAGTAAGCACATAACGACGCGTTCTTTATTTGCTGACAACAGTTACACAAAAATTCTTGGCAGTTCAGGAGATTTCTCCTTATTGGGAGCAGTGGACTAAACATGTACATCACGTGATTTATGGCGCCTTTAGCTTAGCGTGACAAAGTAAGCTTTAAAGTACTCTCATTAGAGTGAAAATAACGCAAGGAAGTAACAGCAAGAGGCTTGGCACCGACGTGACACTTAAAGAGACAAGTGTACTACAAAGATCGCCTTGACAACAAGCGATGCTACACTCAGCTTTGTAGCCTGCCTGTTTCATCTGCTCGCACACTTTCAGCTCTTCTGTGGCATCGTCGCACATCTTCTTGGTTGCGCAGCCGTAGGAATAGCTTTTAAACGAGAAGTAGTCTGACATCACTTCAGTAGAGATTTTGGCACAGCTGTTAGCTACTTCTGGGCATGTTAGTTTCGTGCTGGTCTTGCTGCAATCTGCCATTGATGAAGAGCTCAGGCATTGGTAACATCTTAATCCGCTGACTGAAACAAGAGAGAAACACAAGAAGAATAAACATACACATAGTCTAAATGAAAAGCCGAATAGTGGTGCCAAGGGACTTGCTTGTTTCTAGGAATCAGGAGGCTGCATCTTTGAGTCAATGACTAAAGCTTTTAAAATGTAGCCAAATTTAACAGACGTGTTTATCCGGAGAAAAGGGCGGTTCATGATTCACATTCGCGCAACGGCTGGAGTATTAATGAAATCAAATTTAGCCCATAGACAAGTTTAACTTCCTTTTAAAACTTCTGTCGTAGCAACACAACAAATTTTTCGTAGTGCTTTGTGCACGTTTTACAACTAAGCAAATCAGGTCATCTTATTTATTTGATACCTTACTGTATTTTTAATCATATCTTTAACAAAATTCCCGATTCTGGCCGGTACAACTTTCGGATACCTTACATAATTGGACACCTAATCTATTTGCGCGTCAGTTGCGTGACTCATCAATTCCTTTTGATTGCTGTTTGTAAAACTGATGACACATAAACCAAATTTGTCGTTCCAAAGAGGTTCTTTAGACTTCTTAGCTTGACCTCGACTTGTTAGATAAACGATTAATTAGAAATTAAACCTCAAGAGTTGCAGAGCGTAATCGTGCATGTCCATAATTTCAAATTACTCGCCCGATTAACCCCTTAATTATATTCTACTACGTTTGGTTACTAAGGAAATTGAGGGTGACACCACACTTCAATATCGCATCTTTGACCACTTTTGGTGTTGCCATGACAACGATGTCACTTGACGTCATTTAAATCTAACAATGTTTACTGATGCTTCACTGGTTTACACCGAACGTTTTCCATCGGCACGATATAGGGTTAGTCAGTGAAAATGCCAAAAAAGGCATTCACCAGCATAGTCGAAAGGTGAGTTTTCCTCCATCCGGCCATTTCCTTAATAAAGAAATAACGAAGCCTGAAAAAATGTATTATGCTGGCAATAAACACCGCTCTCTGACAAATTTTGATAACAAAAGATCTAGAGAAATCTAGAAAAACAGAGTCAAGGTTCAGTGTTTTCTACAGTCCTCATCAAATTTCCGGAGTTTTAAGCGGCAGTATAACATATGGTTCTGGCTTCTTTACATGCTTTACGACATAGGAAACAACAAAATACCGTTATTATGTTATGTAATCTTGTAAAACATAGCTTTTTGGCCAATCAGAGCTCGTGCACAACCCAATTAGTATTATAATTTATTATGTGTCATACAATGACTAAGAATGTTTGTTTTTGTTTTGTTTGACTTTAGGAAAACGCTTCCATCCGTCAAAAACACACAGACACTTTTAGCTAGTAAATCAAACTGTCAGTGAAATGATCTCACGGCTTAATGTCCTTAAATGGTAGCTGCAGTTAACTCTGTAGCCTCAGGAAATGAACATCCTGGGGCTCAGTGCTTATATTGACCAACGTAATGACTGTGGTTTCGACACTCTTGCTCTCCACAATGTTCAGAAAACTAGCTACATTCCGAGATTATCGCTGTAGTTAGGGGGCGACTTGTGCTTTTCTGTCCTTGTTTGCCGTGCAAGTAGTCCATTTGTATTATCCAGCATATTTTCTGCTGATGTGTTGGTTTCAGCGTCTAAATTGGAGTGACTGTGATGTAATAATGTCTTAAGCTCGAATCTACTGACTCAGTACTGAGTGACATCAATACAGTGTATTAATGAAGAACCAGACATACACTTAAGTTAGACTTGCCTGTCAACGGGAGAAACACAGCCACAAACAGGAGTAAGATCTGATTAGTAGCCTCAAAGACCATCATGAACGATTACAGTGAAGTTTGTTCATCAAATCTGCAGCTTGTTTGCTGAGTCACTCGAAGATGTCACGCAAGATCGGGCAATGGACAACATTGGCTACACGGAGCTCCTTAAAAGGAGGTGAGTCCTAACCCATTTGCCCATTTAAGACCAACCCCGGCCGTGGGGGACCCTTTGCACTGACTCATCACTTCTCATACAAAGGATGATAATTGGTATCCAAATATCAAACTAATAAAGGAGTAACATGACTCACCAAGTATTCCTATCCTAATATGATTCATGATAGAATAAATTTGGCCGGGGATGGGCAAAAAACCTACAGTTTTTTTCTCTCAAAATCGAGAAAAATAATTGACATCTCAGGATACCGTTAAAAAGAACCTTTTTGCAAATGAAAGGCAAGCAGAACCGCAGAAAAAGAAAGACTGAGAGAACACGCCCGGAAAAACGAAAGGAAGGAAGAAAGTGCCAAACCATTTGCCTTAAAGTGAGTACTGGACTATGTAAAAAAGGGCGAGCAGGTTTACCAAACCTGATAACGGGGTAAAGTAGATTCCAATTCGCTCTGTATAATTCACACTAAAAGCAGACAATAGTAAAGTCAGCCTGCGCTGCTGAGAGCAACAATTCCGTTGGGGTTTTGGGGGACAGGTTATCCTAAGGGTCGGGGGAAACCCTGAGGGTATCTTCTCTCAGACTAGAGATATATAAAAGGGAAGGGATTTCATGAACTGAAGTATAGAAAAGGGTAAGGAAAACTGCCATTTAGGTATTTCGAATATAATATCTTGATGCCTAACGGCTAAAGCTATTACTTTGTAAAGAACCTGTGGGCTGGTGAAACAGTTATCTGCTTATTAACGGGCTTGAAGTTAACTGCCGTAGCAAGTGAGCTGACGTTTCGAGCTGCAAACTGCTGACGAAGAACTAACGCTTCACAAACTCCCTTTGGATGTTAATTTCCGTTTATTGACTGTTGGTCAAATGCCTGTTAAGCACCTAACGCATGTAATTTCGGTAACTCGAGCTAAAAGTTAGTGTAGAAAAAGGATGCAGTGTGTCTAGAGTAGGTATATCAAATGGCAGCACAGTCTGTATGGAAGGTATGGCATCTATATATGTGGGCTACTGACCAAGCGTGAGGTCAAGATGGCTGGATATTAGCCTGGTTCTTTTCTTTGCGTGTTTATGAAGCGAGACGGAGTCGAAGTCCATAAACACGCAAAGAAATAACTGGGCCAATATCCAGCCGTCTTGATCGAACAAGCTTAGCCGATTAAGAATTCTCTTAATTTTATTCGATCGTGGAATGCGAACACGCGGATAGAATCGCGAGAGAACTGGACGCAGGGGGTTGGACTGAGAAAAATCTCTATTCTTCGATTGGCTTCTATGTTGCCCGTCCGGGTAGTCAATCACAGTGCAGGGTTTGGTTTATTTTAGCAAGCCAAGACTACAGGTTTGGCCTTCGGCGGCCTAGACCCAACCTGCTGTAAAGGAGGAGTCCAAGTCAAGGAAGGCTTAAACGAATATCTGAAGACTAAAATGACTGGAAAAAAGTGAGGGAAAGACAGAACTTTTAGCGACGAATGAAATCTTCCGAAATCTCCCCGAGAAGATTGTGTAATGAGCCAAGAACATCTGCGTAGGAGGCTATACTTGCAGAGCTTGACCGATCTCCCTTCGCAGACCTAACAAAATTCCTTGCATGTACCAGTACTTGCTTGGAACAATTAAAAGAACGAGAATAAGTGTAAAGGTGCGATAGACAAAGCTTTCAGACTGCAGTGCTTTCAGTAAGATTTGAAGTAGGTGTCTCCCTTTTGTTAGCACCTGCCAGAGCTGATAAAAGGGGCCAAAGGCCCCTGTCCTCTAGGGAGGTATGGGGGCATGTCTCCGCCCCCCCGAAAATTTTTGAAATCGGGAAGCTCGGAAACATGATTTCCGGTGATTTGAGGCAAAATATTAACACCCAAGCATTATTAATTTTTATCAGAAAAAAGTATTCTACTGCAGAGTTCAATGCAATTTTATTATTCAATGCAATATTATTTTCAGGTGTGTATATACTACTGAGAAGTTACATACTGAAGTCAAGACCTTTTAAAAGCCAGTCATTCGTGATATACAAGACTTGGCTTGATGTTAACTTCTTACACCAGATTAAAGCCTTACCCGATTGCGTCCGTGAGCTTTTTGAAGTAGAACTAGAAGCAGACAGAAACGACAGCATGGACTGCTGCCGCTTCGTTGTGGAACTGTCGATGCATGAAAACGAGGCCTGCTTCTTAAAACACAAGGTACATCATGTAATCTGCGCTGGAGTGTGACCTTTAGTGACGATGATGTTTACGACAATGTTACGTTTAATACGCAAATGAAAATCGACTACTTGTGGCTTTTAAAGCAGTAAAATCACAGGGTAGTGTATAAATTAACTATTTGGTTGGTTTTTTTTTTAACATTTTTATTAGCTTTCCAAAAATAACTAACCATTTAATACGGTGAATTAATAGTTCCTTTTTATTTGACTCCATAAGCACGTTAATGCAGGAAAACAGCTGGCGATTCGCGAGAGTACCCGCCGGAGCTCCGGCAGGAGCCGGGTCTTACTGAAAGCGATGTTTCAGACTATGAAATCAAATGCAGGAAGTGTAACACCGTCTATGGCGGATATACATCAAGGAAAGCATACACCAGAGGGAAGAACACAGCAAGTCAATAAGCAATGAAGAGCGATCCGCCTTGAAGAAACATTGTAAGGAAAAACATAACAATGAAATACAGAAATTTTAATGTTACTAGTTTTTACTAAAATGCTGTGCTAAGGCAAATATCAGGTGTTAGGAAAGCACACTAATCATGCTAATGAACGCTAAGAATGCAACTATCGCCCCATTCCACGTGAGGCAGTCACATATGATGACGTCCATTCACTAAGATAGGATACCAGAGTGACTTAATGAAATCAGAGAACACATTAGTTGTTTCAATTGTTTTCAGCATTTAAAAATTCCTCAGAAGACAATCAAAAGAGGACGATAACAATAGTGCCTTCATTTGGCTTCAAATATTTGTACCAACATTAAGTCTTGGCCAGACATATTTGATCCCAGGACAGGTAATGTACACTGTAAATATCTGATTCAAGAAGTTTTGGAATGAATAATAAAAGTACTACCACCACTTTGAAAGTAAAAAACTTCAATTGTGCTTTGCTTAAATTACTATTTTTATTTCAACAAAACAGACAGGAATTCATTCTTATTTTCACTTGTCACCATTTGATTAGCCAATCAATAAATAGTTTCTACTTTCCACTTTAGTCCTTCCTGACTCTTAATGACTGGAAAAAGGCCTAGGCTAAAAATACTCTAATATTTATCAGGGTGCAAGCCTCATACTCAGGAGTAGGCATTTCCCATATCCATTGTTCGTCGTGTAACAAATCAAAGAACAAATTAAACAAATTATGGATCAAATTGACAACAAACAGACTATACAGACACCAGAATAAATCAACACTGACTTTATTATTTACAGAGGCAATGTCAGTGGCAAGATCATACTTGGATGTATGTCTGAGTAACGACACCACTGTTTTTACCAGTAAATACACGAAAAACCTTTCTATGCTCTTCTCTCTGCTTAAAAGTCTACCAACAAACAGTTCCTTTGGTCTTAACACCTACATTACTTCTGAAAATACGAAGCTCCAACAAGAGAATTTCCATCTGCTTATTACACAAATAAAAAAAAATTAACACAGCAATCAGTGTTGATTTAAAGTCATTTTTGCTTAAATTGTGTGACATTCTTTAAAGAGGGATTTAATTTTGTTTCCTCCTGAAGGAGCAACCTAGAGAGAAAGAAAAAGAAAAAGAAACATCCATAAACAAGAGTTAAAATGTTGCTAGTCAAGACTACCCTGAGCATAAAGGAGGTTGTCACATTTCCCTATGTTTTTGCTGGAACCCAATTCTACTCCTGGGTGAAGAGGGGCACAACATTGCCACAACTGTGCCATAATTCCAAGACAGAATAAGCCAACCCAGCACTAGCAAGAATTTTGATTTCAGTGTTGTACCTTTTCAGTGAGACAAGCAAGTGAAATTCTTGTTGTTAATGGTTCATGGTTGGTCATTGGCGTACAGGCAGTGNGGGGGGGGGCAGCTAGCCCCTAGTTTTGGAAATTTTTTTAAAAGTTTCAGGCAAAATGCTGATGATTCAGGCAAACATATTGAGGAGAAAACATCCTAAAAGGCTGTCAAGGCCACACTTGTAGGCTACCTTCTCTGACGTATGCCTTGTCAAAACAAAGTTAAGGTCAAATGATATAAGGATCCAGGTATTCTGTTTTGGAAAAGCCATATATTGTTTAAAAGGGTATCGTCCAAAGGTGCCCATTCGCCTGTGTGGTTAGTTGAAACATTGTACACATCTTCACCAGTTATCAAACAGTTGTCAATATATTTCCTTTTAATACAAAACTGTGAACACTTAAATTTGTCTTTGACATTTAAATTGTGCAATGACCAATTGGATGGGAGATCAAACCACAAGAAAACCTGCTAGCCACAAAGCTAATTACTGTTACAGCTTGCAATTTTTGTTAACTTGCATCTGATTGGCTTTCCCTCGCCACACAATAAAGCATGAAGCAAGTAGGAGTATTTCTACTCCCCCCAGGATGGGATACTAGTCTATCGCAGGGTTACCCCCAGCATTAAATTTGGCAGTACCCATTTGCAGTGTTTCCACCAGAGCGCGCCATTGCGTGAATCCCGCGTTGCAATCAGAGATGGCCCCCAGAAAAACGAAGAAAGGGCCAATAGGCCCTTTACACAATCCAGTCACATGGTACAAAATCACACATGCTGGTGAGCAAGTTGCGCAGTGGGACTTCCAAAACAAAGGCAGGTCCAGGTGGACTGGTACGAGTGGCATTGTTTAGAAAGTCCCACTGTGCAACTTGCACTCCAGCATGTGTGATTTTGTACCATGTGACTGGATCGTGCAAAGGGCCTATTTGGCCCTTTCCTTTTACAAGACTACAGGCTTAACCAGGCATAGTATTTTAAAAGCCATCCCAGGGCTTGAAATTGTGACTAATACGGTCACCAATGTAACTAACATTTCATCCTTGGTGACCACAATTTGGCAAAAATTCTGGTTTAGTCACCATAATGGTGACTATATTTCTCTGTGTTGACAATCAATCTGGTTATTTCGTCACACATTATGTCCTTGTAGACAATCATATTGAAAGATCTTTGCTTCTAAAACATTCACCATAAGAAAAGAAGTGAGTCCATCCTTTTGCTCTGCCATATTGATTACCTCACTCGGAAAACTTTCAACTTTGAAATCGCCCTACAATGCATTGCAAACCCTTGATTATTGACTATGTCATGTATGCCTAAGGACTGCTCTCTTGTAATGCATGGATCATACTAGTATCTGATTCAAAAGAAATTTATTGAGTAGAAACACTTCAAAAAGCGCTTACTATTAAATTTTATCCTAGATCCTAATAAACTGCTTTATTTTCCTTGGTACCCTGACACATTTTTCCTTCTGTAGCTTTCAATTTATTGGCCCCTTTCCTAAAAAATTGGCCCCTAAAAAAGGTCTTCAGGGGCCACTTTGGCCCTCAAGAAAACATTTCTGGCTGAAACACTGCATTTGCACACCTGAGTGGAGAGAGGCACTGTGAGAGTTAAGTGTCTTGCCCAAGAACACAACACAAAGTCCCCGGCCAGGGCTCGAACCCGGACCGCTCAATCTGGAGATGAGCACACTAACCATGAGGCCAGTGCACCTCCCACTAGTGTTCACAGTATTTGGGTTTTACTCAGTAACTCTTAGAATTCACAGCTAAATTTGATCTTGAAAACTGATTTCATATTCAGTTGTTGCCAAAACGGGCAAAAAAAAAAAATCATGCAGGAAGTTTTATTCTTCATTTTAATATGCTCTCTTCATCCTTCAGTTCACGAAAACTGACCATCACTGTTTTCAAGCACATAAATTTGTTTTCTAGGTACTGAAAATAGTGTCCAGTTTTTCCCAAAGGAAAAGAGCTTGTTTAGTTTGGATGGTTTTCTGGTCATTGGTGGGACTGAACATTTCCTATTTGAAACCAGCCACTGATGGTAAAAGGGTTACAGTAAACTGTTTAATGTAAAAATGCAACTATGATAATCTACTACTATTACAAACATGAACACTTGTATTAGTTTTGATGAAAGCTAAACATGTCCAAGGTACTAGTTCAGTCCGCACCTTCTGTTAGTCTCGCCCGCCCTCCTGTGGGTTGGCACAGCACCATGGAACAGGACACACACAGAACAACTGTCTGAGCATGGCTGAACACAGTTGTGATCTTGTAGCAACCTGCAAAGTTGATTAACATTTACCAACAAGTTGACAGTGCACATCATTTACAACTACATCATTTTACAATGGCAATTTTCATGTAATTTGTTCACATTTACTAAGAACTAATACCAAAGTTAAGAAACAAAATTAAGATACTACCCCTAACACTTTCTCAATTAAAACAAATTTACTATAGCCTTATATATCCTTATATATCATATGCCATTTTAGCTCGGGGGAACACTCACAAGACCTATATACAAAAAACCATGCCATTAGATTAATATTTTTTGCAAGAACTTTCGGTGAACAAACCAATAGTGCTGTCCCTCTACTAAACCTTTTAGAACTTCTCACAGTGAACAATGTTTACCGTTTACATGTATTACGATTTACTCACTTGTAGCATAAGAACCTTCTTCCAAACGTTTTTCACGATTTTTCAAGTGAGCTAGTAGCATACATACTTATAATACTAGATACGCCGCTAGCCAAAACCTCTGCAAAACACGAGTCAGAACAAACACCGCGAAACAAACTATATCCTATATGGCTTCTTTCTTTTAGCATAATGTTCCTTCTTATTTGAAAAGTCTCTGAACAACTTGAAAATAGCATGAAGTAACTAACATTTTGAACATTCAATTCCTCTGAATATCCACTGCTCCTATAGTTTGGTCTGTCTCCCTGTGTTAGCATTGTTTTTGTTGATGTTGTTGTTTAAAGGTTTATATTAATCATTTCATAGAAAACAAAATCAACATTGCACATTCACTCTGTACTTTAATATGCAAGTCAGCAAATCTCTCCTGTTCGCAGTCATGAAGAAGAGCTCACATAAACATTGATATTCATATCTGGATTTTGCATTAGACAGTGGACCAAAACTATCTCAGAAAGGGGATTAATTCAGCTACCATGACAGATCTCTGATAACTTTCAGGTGGCATTAATTGGAAAAGGGACACTTATTACTCAAAAAAAGAGTCAGCAACATGGAACACACAAACAATGTCATGTATAGTTAAACCCTAATATCTCAAACTCCAAAGGGAAACAAAAAATAGTTACAGATGTTGGGGGTTCAAGATAGCTGATAGTACGTGACTGAAAAAGTATATCTGCAGGAATGTGATTTGAGTGCAAGATGACAGGGAGTTCAAGATAACCGAATTTGAGATTGTATGGTTCTGCTGTAACATGTTTCTGCAGTTATCAAAGTATGTTCAATTCTTGGCATTGTTTTCCAGAAAGCCCAAAAATAAACCATATAGACAAACAGAACAATCAGTTTTTTCCTTATGTCGTAATGTTGTGCTGTTAAGTTTCTATCGCCTCATTATGTCAGGATGTTCACACTGAAAACATAACAACATAACATCCTTTTTAAATCATGTTTATGTCGTTATGTTGCTAGTACGAACTAGGCCTAACAGATTTGCAGGCCCATTGTTCTATCAGTTATGTTATCATTTTTATCTGTTATGTACTGACATAATGCTATAACTGATGTACAGCAGCATAGGATTTGAACTCCAGACAACCAGAATCACATACTACCATCTGACCACTCAATCATATTAGAATATGCCTTTACCTGGACATTTGACATCCATGAAGTAGCTGTTTGGACTTTGCACAAGACGCTTGAGTTTGTGCTTCCGTTTTTCTTCTTCCACAGAGGGATGCAAAAGATCTTTGAACAACTGCATTCAGTAAATTACAAACTGAGTTACTAAATGTCCAGAAAATAATTCATTACGATTACACAAAACAATATTCCTGGATGATTACGTACTTCCAAACATGGTCAGGATAATTTTACCCTCTAACCATCCATGCATAATTGGTTTCTAAATTATCAACACTTGTTTACCTGTGTAATTTTTTTTAAGTTTACTTGTTTATTCATAACAGACTAAGAAATCCACATTTTCAACTACTAACAAATTAATGTGCACAAGCCACCAACTGAACCTAAAAAGCCACAAAGTTCCTTATAATCATTCAGACTAACAAGACGCTGCAGTGTGTATAACTACTCATTTAAGCTAGTTGTCGAGCCAGTGTTGCCATCTACTCTTTAAATGCAGGATTTTAACCATTATCAAAGTATTCGATGCCTTGCACAGAAAGCAGAACTTCAACAAATGAGGGAAGTTAAGCTTAAGTTCAACTACTACAAGTAATTGTAAATCTTGACTTCGACCCAAAAAATCTGTCTGGATTCAATTTTTCGCAGACTGCTTTACCAAAACGTCCATTACAATGGACCAAGTTGAATGTTTGTATAAGAAAATAGGAACGCTCCAGAGTTTTCCACGAAAGGTCAAGACTTGGCCTAAGATCGAAAACGAAAGTGTTTTCTAAGGCAAGAACTTTAACACCATTCACTCGCGTGAACACAACGTTATATCGTTGTTTTATCTCAGGTACTGGACGATGACACAGTAAAGCAAATTTTGATGTAATCTGAATGTCTGACGTCCCTTAGGAAAGGTGCAATGAAGGGAAAAGTATTCACTACTAACCGGCATGGTTTTGCCTTCGAATGTAAAGACCAAAAGAGAGAGAAACGTGCGCAGCGCGGAAACATATACGGGGTGGCCACCGATAAACCATCAGGGGCTAGTTGCACAACATGGTGCAAGAAGGGACTGGGAACCATAAACAGTTTCAGAATGAGCCCGCGATTTTCCCAGTGAAGTTGCCAATATTCGCTAATAAATGGTCGCTAAATGCTAAGTTGTCATTTATGCTAATTTGCAGGCGATTCAGACAAGCACAGATATGTCTACTCTTTCGTATCCCCTCTCCGGTTCGTGGAATTTCAAGATAAGCCTAATTAAATCCGAGTAGCAAACGAGAGCAAGCAGATACCTTATTGGAATTTTTTACAGGAGCCTGAGGGTCATGGGCTCCTGATTTTCCACAATCCACTTGAAAGACGAAAAGAAAAAAGAGTTTGAACTGAACAGACTACACTGTATTCAATATTTTGAAGCCAAATTCGCCATCACAACCGAGAAGACCCTGGAACGAGATTAGGTCACCGGAAATGAATAATCAACACGTTATGGTAACGCAATCATGGATCCCCGTTACCACATCTCACAAAACATTCTTTTTCTCAAACATGCTTGATAAATATTCTTGATGGGTTGCTAGGAATTTTGAGAAGACATGTGAACAGTTAGTTATTCTCTGTTTATTGGCTCAGTAACCTCAAATAACAAACGGCACGAGTTACTATTTTAGCTACTTTTCAAACTCCACTTCCGGCACGTGAACGAGCTATTGTTGATGACAGAATCTTCGCAGTGACGCGAGCCAATCAAATCTATAAAAACCACTGGAATCAGTTGTTTGGCTCCATAATATTTGAGCGCAAAACAAAAAAGTTTTTTCATCGCTGATTCAGAAATTAATCTTCTTCCAAAGCCGGTATAAAAGACAAAACATTGCCTTTGCCCTGGCCTTTGCTACACTGTTAACAAAATGAAGAGATTGCTATAGTCAACTCACTTGGAAGACGATGAAGCCGGGCGAAGGTAAGCGACTGATGGTATTCTAGGGCAATTGCTGACGTGTTTTTCACATGAATACTTTTAGCCTGCATTTGCCTTTTTAAATACATTTAAAAGCTAGATCTCGCATAAGAAATTGTAGCATTTTCAATGCCGGATAAATAACTTAAAGAAAGCCAGTTTACATTCGAACGATTAACCAACTGGTGAGAATATATTTCGACCTAAGTTTAAGCCTATGCTTATTCCTTGACAGTCAGAAACACCCGAAGTTGATACGTTGTGTTCGCAACCAATTAAGCTTACTCCTCTAAGATTTATGTATGGCATGAGCCATGAAATCACAGTGTACTTTGTGTTATTCATGGCATTGTTAGAATACCAGAATAGCACTTCACTGTAAACGTATAAAATATGTCGTGATACTTCTATGTAAATGTGCAGGTACAACAGCATTCTCTTGCATGAAATATCCTTTATCCTTATGTCTTCAAGGATGTGTTTATTCGCTGGTGTTTTGAGCATATCATCTTTGAGGACCGTGTAATTATTTTCATCGTATTGGATTTTGATATTTCTAGCACCCTCAATGGAACGAATCGTCTTTATTTATGAAAAAATAGAGAGACTACAGTAATGATTTGCCTGAAACCATGTAGATAGACCATGCTAGTAGCTGATATATTCAATAGATATTGCCATTGATATTTGGCTCATTATGCACACATGAGAAAGACACCTTTCAAAACAAGTTTCAGATCACACTACAGTAATATGTTCTCATATATGCACATATACATGATGCTCACACATTAGAGAGAGTTAAATAAAAAGCTGCAAGATACAGTGCTGAGAACATGGAGAAAGAAACACTTGCACTGTTGAAATTATGTAACGTTGTAATCTTAGATAAGATAGGCTTTAAGGGTACAAAGGTCAAAGTCATTAGCATTTTTCAAAAACTGTGATCTCTTTTTGGGAAAGAGGTGATATTTCATTTTCAGTAATACTTCCATCAGTCTTTAGTCTGTGAACAGTGATGTATTTGGCCATGCCAACACATGCTAGTCTCCAATACAGTACTGGAAATTTCTTTCTGTTATATAGATATTGATGAAAAACCAGGATTTTTCTTGTTCCTAAAATTGGATTTCTTTGTCACCAGAAGTGAAGATACCATTTTTATAGATCTTTTACATGTGAAGATTTTCATGTTGTCATGGTTACAGACATGCATAATTTTGACTTTTTAACACAGTAAATAACATTTTCTTGAGAAGCAAAATGTACTTTATCTTTGCGTTTCATTTATCTTTGTGTTTCACATTAGTATGTGTAGCAGCCAACTCTAATAAACTAAGATAATCCTATCGTATAGCAGATTAAGTTTTTCCAGTCAATGAAGTAAGTTCATTTTTGCTGTCAATCACAAGTTCTAGCAGGACCAGAAAGTGAGGTTGCAGAGGAGATGGAGTGTGAGATGCAAGCCAGAGAGTTCTTTGTTCACATAGGAATGCTTATCATAGAAGGACGGACTCCCCAGCACTCTGACAAGGGAAGAGTTGAGGGGCCCCACTGTTTGTCTCTTTTTAGTGTTATTCCTCATGTGTGTGATCCTCAAGGAGTCAATAGTGTAAGTGCACTGTCTGCATGTTCATAAAAGTTATTGACTGACTGATCAGTTGATTGAATTTAAGCAAATTAAACTTAAATATTTTAATAAAAGGCAATTCCTTTGTGATTGTGGTGCAAATGCTCTTAATATTACTAAGCTATGAAGTCAGTGGCAGCTGGTCAGTCACAAGTGCTATTTACAACTGTGAAGTGAGGAATATGAGATAGTGCAGGTCCGTAGAGAGGGGGGTGGGACAGGTGCATCTGCATCCCCCTTCCCACAAGCTATGGAAGTCTGCCTATTGTGGACAGATGGCTAAAAAATTAATTTAAAATAGACTGATTCAGAAACAGTGTTAGTAGTGCCTGTATATACTCCAATTCATAAACTGAACAAAATACTTAATGCATACATGTATTTAACTTGGATACAAGATGATAGATAGCCAGCGAGGCCTGGAGCACCGAGTTGCCTATAATCATCTCATATCTAACAAATGCAAGAGGATCGAATAATTGTTTTCTTAAAACTGCCCCTAAAATATAGAAAACCGAAATGAAGTAAGCATAACAATCCACAACCCCTCCCCTCCACCTTCCAAAAAAAAACTAATAGTATGGGCATGCTTACCACATTTGTAGGTATAATTGCGCAGCAAGGATGTGCAATGTAATTCAGTGGAATTAGTAAAATACAGCTGCAGTTGAAAATTTGTCTGGCTTGTAAATAATTTGTACATTAATTTGTATTCTTTACTTCATGGCCGGTGTAAACAGAACTCAGCTTTGACCAACACTCGGGTGTCAGTCACAGCTTCTAGTCAAGAGCATTTCCTCCAGAATCGTGATGGTCAGGGGTTTTTTGGATCCCCTTGTAGCAGTTAATTTATAGTTCAGGTTTTTGTCTTCACATCTTGTATGTTACAGCTGTAGGGATTTAGATTGATGCTGACATAGAAAGGCATATTAAATAACTTACAAGCGGCTTTCTACACGCATCTCTGAAATGAAGGAAAAACTTTTTTCCCAAGTAGGATTCAAACCCACGTCTCCCCACATACTTAAGTAGGGCGTGATATCCACTACACCATTGGGGCAACCTCACTGGGTATGTGGCAACCTACTGACGTGAGTAGATATATGTAGAATGTGGCCAATCCAAGGGACATTTTTCCTTAGAGACATTTGTGTGTTTCTTGGCTCCTTCTTGACAATTGGGGTTATGTAACAAGTAGAGTAGAAACAAGAATAGTAAAATTGATGCTGAAAAGGTGAAAATGGAGGTCTGATATTTTTCTACAATCCTTTTTTTTTTTGGTGCAATCATGCAGTGTCAGAAAGTGCTTGAAAGGAAAGAGAAGATGAATGTGTTGTGGCAGAACAGCTCGCCCATGGTGATAACTGTAATGACGCAAGCACCTACTAATGACAGTTTGATTTTACTGGAAAGATGGACAGTTGAAGCAGTTGATGGGTAAGCCATGTAATTGGTTATAAATAATAACACAATGTGACTGTGTGGTGAATTTGTTCAGTAAATGCAATATAGATCATACCAGAGAGAATAATGCGGCTGTAAATCTGATGTTTCCTGGCTAGCACAAGAAAGCTGCCAGTTTGCAGTGTGCAGCTGTCAGGAATTGAGACATGTTTGATGATTTTATATCAATTGGTAGAGTGGGTGAGATGAGATCATCAATCACTGACTGATTGATACCAGCTAAATATCAGCTGTCCTCTAATCTTATCCTAAAGTTTGACTGAAATGCACCATAACAAGCCTTTAAAATACTTGTATGTGTACAAGTAGGCTGGCATTACAGTGCTATACTCGCAAGAAGGTGGTTCCAGAAAAAGAATACAATTAAATATGAAATAAATTTTAAAACCAGTAAGGTTACATGACTACATACTATATAGTTTCTGTATAATTCAATGATGTTACAACTGCCTGTATGTCTTTATGTTCATCTACAAACAGAGCAGAAGTTCATGGCTGTAATGGAGGCATGCTGATCCAAGCAATCAGGTCGCACATTCATTTTTCTCAGCTGAGTGCTTGGTTAAGTCGAAGTAAAGGAGCTATTCCTTCTCATGTCATCTATAGGTCAGTATTGAAGCATGACCCATTTGATACAGCTAATAAATTGAATACAGTTTCAATTAATTATACTGGACACATCAAATTTGTATGGAAAAACCTTTTTTTGTGGCGGGAATTAGCATTTCCAGTAGACATGTTTCAGAAAAAAATCTAGGGAATAACTTCAGCTCAAGGCATAATATTTAATAATTTCCCTTTCCTATGTTTTTACTGGAAAAATCAGAAAATTACTGTTAAAGGTCACTCTAAAAGGCTTATTTTTTGTCTTCCCTTACAGGGCTTCAAATAATTTCCGGCTGGTGCTGGTCAAATTGTCCAGTCAAATCTATTTTTGCTCGGACATATCCCATTTTTGGCCAGTCAGACATCGATTGCGTCTTATCACTATAAAAGTGACCCCTCCCCCATTCACATGATGTTTAAATATCAAACAAGTAAATTTTCAAAGCATTTATTGTACATGAGCATCAATCTCAATGCTGGAAAAGTGGAACGCATGGTACAGCAAAATCAGTATCACATTTGTGCAAAAATTTGCAGCAATAGCTGGAAATTTTATGACTATCACAAATCATTTATTAAATGATTACTAGATTTTTGATTTACTAGATTTTTTCCTTACCAGCATAAACGACCGGACAAATTGTCCGGCCATCCAAGGATTTGACCAGACAAAACCTATTTTTGACCGGACATTGTCCGTTGACCGGCTGTTACTTGAAGCCCTGCCCTGCAGCAAGTAAACATTCAGCTTTTTCATTCACCGAAGTTTCAGCCTCTACATTGCCTGCTTTGCGTAAGAAATTCATCTTGAAAGAAGGGACTTTGGAGGCCGCCATTTTAAACTGTACTTTGCAGCCCGACCGTGTTTATGTGACGTAATTCTGTCCGACTCGAAATTGACAGGAAGGAGAAAAACCTGCAACTTACTTTGCATCCTTCACAAGGTCAGCAAAATGTGTTTTTTTCCAAGCGATTATCCACTTCCCTATCTTCACTGATCTCATTTTTTGGAGTTTGGAGCATGTTTGGCCCGAAATAATACAGCTTCAGAGCAGCCATATCCCAGAGTGGTAGTTAAAAGGCTTGTCAGAAGCCATTTGGACAAAATGTCGTGGACAGAATGAGCTAGGTCACAGAAACGCGGCCTGGCTGCTGTGTACTGTTCAAAATGGCAACAATGATGTCAAATTTTGGGCTTCTTAGGAGACAAATTTCATGTGGAAACCTGCACTTTGGAGTCTTAAACTTCAGTGAATGACTAAACTAAGTGCAAGGTTTTTATTAGCACTGACAACAAAATAAGTTTTCTGGAGTGACCTTCTCCTTTAAGTACCATTATTTTGCTTTTTCACACTATTCCCATGCCCCTTCCTAGTTGAAATATGGAGCAATGGGAAATGAAATTGGACAGAGCTCCTTTCTACTGGGAGAGGCACGGTGGCCTCATGGTTAGTGCTCTCGTCTCCAGATTGAGCGGCCCAGGTTCGAGCCCTGGCCAGGGACATTGTGTTGTGTTCTTTGGCAAGACACTTAACTCTCACAGTGCCTCTCTCCACCCAGGTGTATAAATGGGTACCGGCAAATTTAATGCTGGGAGTAACCCTGCAATGGACTAGCATCCCATCCAGGGGGAGTAGAAACACTCCTAGTCGCTATATGCTACGGAGACCGGGATAAGCTCCGGCCTGATGGACCACTTGGCCTGTATACAGACTTAACCTACCTTTCTACTGGAATGTTGTCAAATGGTGCATACTCATTAGTGGTGTAACGATTAATTGAATTCTCGATTAATCACGATTATGACCATTTGGTTCGATTCACAATTCTTTGATTTCAGGTTTCGATTTTGGTTCGATTGTTTGTATACCTTTCTCAGAGTGCCCTCAGTGAGTTATTATATGGTGAAATCAGAATCCAGAACTCTTTAAAAAGTGCGTTTTTGAATGATGAGTAAAGACGTTTGCAGTTTGTGTGCCATTTTGTGTTGTGTGGTAAAAATGTTGCCTTTTTAACACCCCTTGAGAATTTCCAAATAAGGCAAACCGTGTGCGACACGCTCATTGTATCCTAAAATTGAGGGTTTAGGGCTGTATGCTGTCTACATTGTGTATCATGTTGTAAGAATTAAACAACATTACTATTTTGCATAATTGAATTGAAATAATCGAAATCGAAGGGCAATAATCGAAATTGAATCAAATCGCAAGGGATATGAATCGTTACACCCCTAACGCTCATCTCATCTCATCTCATCCTCTTTGTTGAAAATGTTTACTGTGCATTTGGCAGAAGATTCTCACTGGGTTTTCCACATAAATGGAAAGTGCTCATTGTGTCCCTTTTGATCCTCTTGGTCATGACCGGAAGCCTGTCTGCATTGTTTGTTAATGGTATAAATAAATGATATAGAATTGTAATTGTATTTCATTTTATTTTATTTTATCTATTTACTTTTTCTTTCCAATATTTTTATTTCTCTCGAAGATATTAGCTCACAAGCTACTCTGTAAATTCGAGGTTAAATAAAGTATATGTGTATGTATGTATGTATGTATGTATGTATGTATGTATGTATGTATGTATGTATGTATGTATGTATGTATGTATGTATGTATGTATGTATGTATGTATGTTTTTTTGTTTTAACAGTGTCTATTTACAACGTCCATGTGGAGATCATGCCTGTAGATCATTTAACTGGCCCATTGGCATCTTGATAAGGCAGTTTGGGTTCAAGCACCCTTTGGGGTCACTGACTGTCTCTTGGGCACATGTCCTGTTACATAATAAAAATTATTTTTCAGCCTTGATTATCAAAGTACAAGAGAATTTGTTTTTTCTTTCACTTTTTGTTGTCAGGATATGTGAGACTGGGGAGGAACTACCACCAAGTAGCTTTGTAAAAGATCCTGACTTTCATGTCTTTCCACTGGCCAATCTCCATAGCAACAGAGTGCTGCGAGTCAGTGTTCAGTCCTTACCAAGATGTGACATCTTCAACTTCACGGATGAGATTTTGGCATCTAAGATCAATCTCCTCAGTGCTGGCCACAAACAGGAACAAAAAGAACACAAGAATGTTAAGGAGAACACAATCTCAAATGATGAATTGCTGAGATCTCCCTTAAAGAAGAAGTCGTGTATGAAAGATCTTGAAGCTAACCATCATTTGCAGACTTTGAATGAAAATAATCTTACCAATAAAGAGAAGAATTTAGACTTTTCAAAACCTTCAACAAGTCGAACTTTGGCTGAACAAGTTTCAAGAAACTGTGATGAGAATTTATTGATTTCTCCAAAGATCTCCCAGGACAGTCTAAAAGCAAGTTATTTGAAACTTCGCAGTCTTAGTGAAGGAACCAATGATGCAAAATTACATGGGCAGACAAATCAAAACAACTGCAGCAAAATACATCAACCTGTACATAATTTAGAAACAAAGCAGGTAAGTAAGGTACTCTGCATTACAGTCTTCCACTTACAATCCAGCAATAATTGCTCAACAAAAAAGGAAACACTATGTAGAGACTCTTGAAAGAGAAATCCAGGTGTTATCCACCCTGTACATGGAAAAATTCGCTGGTAAAAGCTACAGGCAAAATTTGCTAAGAAAAATTTTTTGTAGTGCCTTATCTTTGTAATCTTGAACTACTTGTATCAAACTGCTGTAGGAGCCTGAAGCCTCAAGAAATGTAGATTGCTTTTAAGCCTTTTGAATAATAATTGTACATTCATGTTTCACATGTTTACAGTTTGTAGCTGGTTTTACGATTTCCTTCAACTTAACAGAACTGTGATCACAAGAAACTTTCCAAGCAGTATCAAACCTCTGCGAACATCACAATTCCTAAAGGAGTCCTCCAAACACTTCAAAGTCGGCATGTAGGCACTGGTACTCGTCCGATCTTCAATTCAAGAACAGGCCTTCCTGTGTCTTCAAGCCCGGTCAGTAAGCTGGTCTCCCCCTGTGTTGAAATTCTTCCTCTCTAATTTCCTAATTTCCTTCAGTTCGATCTCTTGGCTTAATACTGTGTCATTAAACTCATTCTGAAATGCTTGGCTCCTTTCAACTTTGTGTGTTGTCATCAGGCTCCTCTTCGGCGCTCAGCTACAGATTTGGATATTGAGGATGATGACAGAGAACTAGCTAAGTAAGTTACTTACTCGTAAAATGAACACAATTTGTTCATTCTTAATCATGAGAAACTTAGTTAGCACAAGTGCTGGCAACTTTAAGTCGCAGCTCTGGCTAGGACTTATCGTTGTTAATTATTAATGCATAATTTTTAGTGACAGAAGTAACTTAAACCAACTTCAAGTCAATTTCTTCTTTTTTACAACTTAAGTGGCCTTCCAAAGAGGTCCAGCAACAAAGACCTAACCTCCATACTCAGTAAAAGTGCACCAGCTTCCACAACACAGAGTCTACTTGGAAACTTTGAGGTAAAGTAATCAGCTGGCACGCATGTTTACTGACAAGTAACTTTTACAAAATTAAAATGTCACTTCCAAAAGACCATGAAAAGAGAAGGCTTGTGATGAAGTAAGACAACATTAAAAGACATTCTTTCCAATTCTTCTATCACAGTTACTTTCATTGTTGAAATATGTTGTACATAAGATATCATTAAATAGTTAAGTAGCATTCTATTTGACACAAATTTATCCAATAAATAAATGTAATGATATCAGCCAACAGCACAAGAGACATGACAAGCCTGTCCTTCCCATTCAGTACAGTGAGCATTTTGCCTGGACTTACAATGAGGCTGCTACATGTACTTGGCCAAGATGGTGCAGTCAGAATATTTGAAACTTTCCAAATACTAATCATGCTCTTGTGGACTTCTTTTTGTGTTGTTTAAGTATTTGGCTTTATTTCTAGAAGGATTAATATGATGCAATGTACATTTTCATTTCATTTTCATGTTCATTCTAGTCATGCTTACATATTGATATGTCTGTCATTTTCCAGGAGTCAGTTTTAAATGGTAGAATGGAGCCATTAGGGACTGTTGAGGTAATGTTCATTCTGGTGTGTTGGGTTAGTACATAAAAATTGTACATTTTTTTATGCATTTTTTAAGTCTTAGGTCACTTACCCAGGCAGTGGTGAGTACTGACAACATGAAGTCCATTGATTTCCTGTTAATAATACTTAGTTGTGATTTAATAGTAAGCTGTTAGAAATAGAAACTGCTAATAATCAATTAAAAGTAGACTTGCTCAATAATTTTATAAATAGAGTAAAATGAATTTTCTAGCCTGAATCTTCTCTTTTTTTTTTCTTTTTAATGTGGCTAAATATCATTTAGCCAAGATTAAACTCAAGCTAATGCAGCCAGCTAGCATGCCCATCCAGCTAATATCATTTAGGCAAGTTAAATATGAGCTTATGCAGCCAGCGGTTTCCCTGTTTGGGAGTATGTGACCTGTGGGACGGCCCTCAGGGGTTTTGCAGGGGTTTATGGTTCATTGCATAATTGTTGTAGTGTATTCTGCTGATTGTTGCGGATCAGTTGCACTGCTTTGCTCGCGAATCATT